GTGAGCACGCGGCTGATAGCGGACAGCGACGGCGTGGAGAGCGGCATTGGCGATGCGCAGGAGCTTGTGCGGATGTACCATGATGAGAGCAAGAGCGGATCGCGGGTCAAGAAGGTGGTGGACGGCGTGGTGGCATGGATGGCGGATGCTGGCGTGCTGTATGGCATCATCACGACAGGGATCCAGACGTGGTTGGTGCACAGGCGTGCAGCCAACCGCCGAGTGTGGGCTGTCGAGATCTCTGGTGCCGTCCATGAACACGGTCGATGGGGTGCAGGCACAGAGGCACACACAGACTCAGAGGCAGACTCAGAGGCAGCTCGAGTGGATGCGGAGCATGGCGACACGGCACTTGCGATCGCCCTCGTGTTCTTCGTCTGCAAGGCACTCACCGACGATGCCGATCTGGAACGCGAGTGGCGGACGGACATGGGATGGCGGCACATCCCGCCAGTCACAGATGGCTGCGCGCTGATGCAGGACAACAGCCGCATCCACCTGGTCGACTCCAACCCCGCCACGTGCATGTGCAACCGCGGACAGCAGCTTGCGACAGCCCATGTGCAGGATGCCGTTGATGCCCACAGACGCAGTCACCAAGGAGCCGTGCCTGCCCAAGACGCGCATGGACACGAGCGCCGCCATCTGACTGTCCGGCTGCACGAGGAGCTTGGCAAGGGCCAGCTTGCGACGGTGCGACGCGGATGCTACCACGGACACCAGGTCGCGGTCAAGATGGTGTGGCTGCAGGACCCGCATGCGGCGTTTGATGTGCACACGGCGTTGCGCAACGAGCTGGGCATGTACAAGGCGCTGCAGGCGATCCAGGGCGATGCTGTGCCGATGCTGTACGACGTTGTCAAGACGAGCGACATGGTGTGTCTGGTGATGCAGCTTGGCGGCCAGCGTGTCGGCGTGTGGGGCGACGAGGAGCGGCGGCTTGCACGCGCGGCACTGGCCAAGATACACGCACTCGGATACCTGCATGGCGGCGTGCGGCGTGCCAATGTGGTGTTTGTGGGGGGAGGCACAGCGGCTGATGGAGCGAGCGCTTCATGTGGTGGCCGTCGTGGACATGGGAGTGGACATGGACATGGCGCGGATGCACGACGGGCGATGTTTGTGGATCTCAAGGTGACGGCGTATGTTGGCGTGCTGGACAAGGCGATCTTCAAAGCCGAGATGGATGCGATTGCACAGCTGTGAGCGTGACGCTGTGTGTGCTTGCTGTTGTTTGGCACTTGGGCTGAATGAAGGACGGTTGTGGGCTGACGATGCAGCGAGTGCTCGGACGAGCGAGCGACCAGTGGGACGCTGCCACGCCACGCATCGTCACGCCACGCCACGCCACCTTCGATCGCGTTCTTGAACGGCGGCCGACTCAGTCAACACTTTGACCTGAACGGCAACAGCAACAGCAACAGCAAGCGATGCGGACACCGCTGTGCAAGCTGCTGCAGATGCTGCAGCTTGCGCTTGTGTGCGCTGTTGTGGCCGTGGCTGGTTCTGCCGGCGAGCAGGCAGACGAGCAGGACGTGGTGTGCGAGGTGCTCGAGACGGGAGCGAGCGACTGCTTCCCGCGAGTGTTTGTGCCGACCAACGGTGTGTGCCTGTGTGCCTGTGTGTGTGTGTGTGGCAAGAGAGACTGACCGCAGGCGAGCAGAGTTCCAGCGGGTGCGCAAGGGGCAGGTTGTGCCCAAGGGGCTGCACATCCGGCTCGACTGGCAGACGGGCCAGCGCGAGGCCAAGCTGGTCGATGCAGACGGCGACGGCGACAAGCCGGCCACATCCAGCGACGCTGTCGTGGTGCGACTGCCCGATACGAGCGATCCACTGGCAGACGAGCCACAGGCAGACGACCCGCAGGCAGACGAGCAGCCGCAGACAGACGAGCCACAGGCAGACGAGCCGCAGGCAGACGAGCCGCAGGCAGACGAGCAGCCGCAGACAGCGCAACTCACGTCGATCGCCCAGGAGTCGGCGGGTCTCCCGCACCAGCAAGCCGCCTCGCTCGCACAGATCCTCGACGGCATGGCGCACGCCAACACAACGTCGCTGGCAAGCACGCTGGCCTTTCTGCAGGACGTGGTCGACCATGTGGACTATGGCGCGGATCTGCTCAAAAGCGAGGCAGCCGTGACGGTGATGGTGCGGCTGATGAGCGATCCCAGCGACACGGGCAGCAACAGCCTGTCGCTCCAAGCAGCGCATGTTCTCGGCACCGCGTTATCGGTGAGTGCTGCCATGCACATGTCGCCGTCACTTTATATGCGGCAGACTGACACTGCGGATGGACATGGACGTGGACATGGACATGGACGTGGACATGCACGAACACAGAACAACCGCGTGGCGCAGGAGCGGGCAGCGCAGTACGGACTGGTGGCCAAGCTGTGGCGGCTGGTCGAACAGCAGGCACACCACAGACACCGCTACCTGTTCACGTTTGGCGCGCTCGTGCGGTCCAACCCGACAGCGATTCGCGAGTTTGTGTTGGCGGCCGACGGGCTGGACCGCATGGCATCGCTCTACACGCTCGAGTCGGACAGCCGGGTCAGACGGCGGCTTCTGGCGCTGTTTGGCGATCTCCTTGATCCAAGCATGACGGCCAGTGGCGATGACGGCGATGGTGGTGGTGGTGGTGGTGGCACGGACGGCAAGAGCATCGTGGGTGGAGTGGAGGCGGCCGTGGTGGACCGATGGTGTGGCATCAGTCGCGAGGCACAGCAGGATGATAGTCTTGCAGATGATGCAGCACACGCACTGGAGATCCTTGAGCAACATGGCCATTGCAAACGAGGCTGAATGAAGAATGTCTCGTGTGTATGACGGCCAGTCGGCGAGCAATCAGGACAGAGGAGAGAGAATTTTTTTTTTTTTTGATGGATAAGAAAGCTTCATTCCAAATGCTCGCATAGCATGCCCCACCAGTGATGGCATAGGCTCGTTGGCAAATCCCACAGGTACCCTTACCCTACAGCGCGCCGTTTGTGTGCCCAGAGCTCAGACCGGTACACCCAAATAGACGCTTGCAGGAAGTCCGCTAAACCCACCATAGCCAACCCATCGCCCTCGAAGTTCCGCATCTGCTCCGCATTGAATGCTTCGCCCCACGTCCCGCCAAGGACTAACCCCCACATCAAGTTTACCACGTCAGAAACAATATGTACAAGATCGCCGCGTATCTGTGGGTGTCCCACATTCTCGTGCGTTGCAATGGCGCGTGCTGCTGCGAACCGTGCGTCCAAGCCACGCTGCCCGTGCGCTGTGCGGATAGCCACGATCCGCTCCTCTGTGCACTCGAGCGCAAAGTGCGCAATCTCCAGCGTGCTTCCCAGATCCTCGCCACACATGATGCAGCATGAACCGTCACCAAACGGGTGGGCTGGGTCGAGCAGGTTGGCGTTGATAGCGCGGCGAGCCGTGTAGATGCCGCCCACACGTGCAAGCATCAGGAACCGTGCACCTTCCGAGCGTCGCGGGTCAAAGACCGGGTCTCGTATGATATTGGCTGTCTTCTGCATCTGGAACGCAGTGTAGATGGCAGCCGTGTCGCACTTGCTGGCAGACTTGAGCGTGACAGCCAGGCCGTATGCCTTGAGGCGGGGCTTGCTGTCCGGATCGCCGTCGGGCAGGCCGGGCGTGGCCATGTAGCGGTTGTAGATTTGGATCGAGCGGCGTGTCCAGTACCAGAGGCGTCCACCAACGGGTGCTGGCTGTGCGGGGCAGAGCAGGCCGAGTGCCGACTTCAGCTTGGGCGTCTTGAGACGAAGGCGCATGCGTGCGACCAGACTGCGGGCCACCATGGTTTGGATGCCGCACTCTGTCAGCATTGGGACGACGGGCGTGTACATGGGTGCGCCGAGCATCTTGCGGACGCCCTGGTTGACAGCCGTCTGCAGAGGGTGTAGTGCTGACACATCGCTGCCCAGCAGCTCGAGACCGTAGTTGGCGATGCCAAGGACGGATCCCAGGTAGATGGAGTGGCGATAGCGCAGCGACAGCTTGCTGTTGGTCAAGACCGGGTGCAGCGCACTGGTCGCCTTGCGTATGGACTGTGCCTTGGACTTGATCCACTGCTTGAGCGTGAGCTCATGGTCGATCAGGACGCCGAGGTACTCGTACTCTGTCAGCACGGGCACCGCCGCTCCATGCAGCTTGATGACGACGTCCGGCGGGCCGTTGCCTGCGTTGTTGGTTGGTGGTTTGAAGAACGCCATGATGCCGCACTTGTCGACACCAAACGCCATCTGCCACTTGTCCGCCCATGCCGCCACGACTTCCACAGCGGCTGCCAATGCTGCATGCGACTCTGCGAGAATGACCACATCGTCTGCAAACATCAGCCCACGGATGCCATGACCATCAGCCACGGCTGGGATGCTGATCTCAGGGATGCCATCGAGTATGTCGTTGAGGAACAGGTTGAACAAGAGGCCAGACAGCGGGCAGCCTTGGCGGACGCCTCGCCTGACGTTGAACGGCTCAGAGAGCACATTGCCTGATCGTGCGCATGCAGTGGATGATGTGTAGAGTGCCTTGAGGAACTCGTATGTGCGTGGCGGGATGCCCATCTTGCGCAGCTTCCACAGCAGTGCGCCGATCGGCACCGTGTCAAATGCCTTCTTGATGTCAATGAATGCTGCGTGTGTGGGCAGCTGGCGTGCACGCCGCCGCTGGATAATGTCGACGAGAGCGCAGACCTGCGCTACCGCCTCCTCACCGCGACGGAAGCCAGCTTGCTCGTGCGTTATGAGGTTATTAGCTTCAACGAATGTGTTGAGCCGCATGTGCACTGCTTTGCACAGCACTTTCAGGCCGACATTGATCAGCGAGATGCCACGATGGTTGGACGGATCGCTCAGATCGCCCTTCTTTGGCAGCGAGACGATGGACGCCGACTGCCAGGCACAGAGGAGAGAGAAGAGAGAGAAGAGAGGGCACGAGTGTGAGCAGCAGGTCGCGTACTTGGAGCTAATGTTTCTCGACAAACCAAGAAGGGAGGCTTAGCTCAGCGGTAGAGCAATCGACTGCAGATCGATAGGTCCGTGGTTCAATTCCGCGAGTCTCCTTTTCGCCCAACAACGCAGCCATCAGCATGCGCTCTTTTTGCTGCTCCAAGAGTGCACTGCCACACACGATCCACCGATCCAAAAGTGTGGAACGCCTGTGCGGTGGAATGTGCAAAATGAGGGCAAAAGATGTAGCACTGGTAGGTTTCGATCCTACGGCTTCTGGGTTATGAGCCCAGCGAACTTCCGCTGTTCCACAGTGCTTGCCATCCGTGTCAATTTCGACCCCAGGAACAATACGAACCTTGTGTCGTGTGACTGTCAGCGATCGGTGGTTGCACGATTGGCTGGATGGAATGCTGAATGGTTGGATGCCTGGATTGGATGGGATGTGTACATCGCAACAGTGTTCATTCGATGCGAGACAAGCACAGGCAGTGGAATAGAACAGATGCAGGCATGGTCAGTCTGTGTCTGGCTGCCTGGAATCGAACCAGGATCCATGGGGTAGGAATCCACTTGCTCTGCCATTGAGCTACAGCCAGGAGTGTGGAGTGTGGGAGTGGGGAGTGTGGGGGAGTGTCCAGCCGCCCGGAGTCGAACCAGGGACGTGCGAAATGAAAAGTAACGCTCGCTCTGCCACTGAGCTACAGCCGGATGTGGATGGATGGATGGGTAGATGGATGGAAGGAAGGGCAACGGATAGACGCGAGGCGAGGCCAGGCGAGGCGATGGACAGCCGCAGAGAGACACAGAAGCATGCACGCGAGAGAGGCGTGTGTCCGGCCGCCCGGATTCGAACCAGGAACCAGGGAAGTTTAAGGACCCTGCTCTGCCGATTGAGCTACGGCCGGGGTGACCGCCTCTCTCTCTGCGATCTGTGTGGGCTCTGCGTCCGCCGTGCCATGCCATGCCGTGCCATGCCGTGCCTTGTCGAGTGTGTATGAGTGTGTCTGCTGTGAGAGAGAGCAAGGCGGACATGCAGCCTCCTTTTGTACGCGGCAGACAGCCAGAAAGCCTCAGATGCGCTTCACACGCGGCTGTCTGAGTGGACGCTTGTCTGCTGCATGCGTGCGAGCGAGCGTGGGAATGCCTGCGAGTGTGTGTGAGCGATGCCACCGGCTCCCTGTGTCGTCAATGCATGCCACCCTCTTGCATGACTCTGCCTGCAAATATTGCATTGAAATTTGCGATCCAATTGACCAAAACTCGCCACCCAAAAGGCACCAAATTGTGCACGCTCGAATCTGCCCTCAGAGAAACATTCGATCCGCCATGATTGCACTTGCTGCCCTCGCCCTTGCCTCGGCCCTCGTCTCAGGCGTGTCTGCCCAGACCTGTGCAGGCAACCCGACGTTCACCGAGTGTGTCCGCAACTCGCTCGTCTCTCCCACCGGCCTCGTTGGTGCTGCCATTCCCGAAGACGGTGAGACGCTTTTGCATTCGCCCTGGTTCTGTTTGCGGCAACGACGTCGTGTTGTTGCGGCTGCTGCTGCTGCACAAGCCTCACCTGGCGTCTTGTGTCGTCTTGTTTGTGCACGCTGCTGACGCTTGTGCTCGGATGCGGCGCCGACCATCACAGCCTGCAGAACCCTGCAGCAGGACCAGACGGCCTACTACACCTGCCTGTGTGCCCGTTACCAGAGCGTCGTTGGCTGGTGAGTGCGCGAGCGGTGGTGGTGCCATGTGTGGATTTGCTGGGCCGGCTGCCTCGCCGTCGTTCCGCCGTCGTTCCGCTGTTGCTGCTGCCTCGGCTGCTGTCTGCGTCGTCGTCGTCGTCGTTGGAGGATGCTTGCCTCCGACTCCGACCCCGACCGAGCCGTGACAGTCGGCCGCAGTGCCACCACAGCCATCGTTGTCGTCATTGTCGCTGCTGCCTGCACTGTCCGTGACTCACACGCCTGCCTGCCATGCCCACGCACAGCTACACCTCGTTCTGCGCGGCTGATCCCGGCCTGTTCTCTGCCCAGCAGTCTTCGACCCAGTACTGCGGTGCCGTCGCTGCGCTCCCGTCCCCGTCGACCATTCCTGGCGCGTCCGCCACGCAGGGTGCCGGCCTCCCTCCTCTCCCGTCGCTGAGCCCTGCTGCCCCGTCCGTCGCGTCGCCGACCACGTCGCCCAAGACCGGCTCTGGATCGACCACCACGGGCACGGGCAGCTCGTCGGCCATGTCGCTTGGCGGCTCTGGCGTGATGGCCGGCCTCATTGGCGCGTCCGTGGCCGCCGCCATCGCCCTTGGATCTCTCTAAATCCATGCATTCCCGTCCAGCCGTCCAGCCGTCCAGCCGTCCAACTACCCTGTAATGTGGCCATCTGCTTCACTCACTCTTACTCTCACTATTCCTTCTCTGGGCGGCTGTCTCTTTTTGCGGCACCTTTCAACCACGATGACGATGATGACGATGACGATGATCCAATGATCCAATCCAACCTGTCCATCGTTCCACAATGACATTGATTTATCGACAAGGAGAGAGATGGCAGGCACAACAGTGTATAGCATGTATGGATAGATGGGGGAAGACGACGGCCATGCGCAGGGCTACAACAGAAACACGGCAATGGACGTGACGAGAGCAAGCGACACGCTCAGCCAATGCGACGGCTGGCGTGCCGCCCGACTCGCCGAGACAGCCGGCGCGATCTGATCGCACTTGAACATCTCGCTGCCGCTGCCAAACGTGTAGCAGTCGCCCGCGACGTAGTTTGTCGTCTGCGAGGCGTTGGGCTCGCGGCTGCACGAGCAGTTGGCGCACGAGTACCATGTCAGCGACGATGTGCGGTAACTGCCGGCGGACGTGTACTTGGTGGGCGAGCAGCCGAAGCGCACGGATTTGGATGTGTACGCCGAGTCTGTGCATTGGCGAGCCGACAATCCTGCGATGGACTCGCACCAGAACGCTAAATCCCCGCCGTTCAATCCGGCAGGGGAGGTGTGTCGTGGTGTGTGTGTGTGTGTGTGTGTGTGTGTGTCGTGGCGGAAGAGCCGTTTTCAGGAATCGCATGGCGAGCAATGAGAAGCGAGGAAATGTGAGGATGCCATGCTGGAAATGGGGTTTGGAAAGCAGCAGGGCGAGACGCGACTCACCGCCTGGATAGCAGACCGACGATGACATGTTGGTCACGAGCGTCAAGCGCGAGCGGCATCCGGGCGAGCTGTACAGCAGGTGGGACATGGGCTCTGGCGGCGCAAAAGTCGGCTCCGGCAGCAGCGACATGGATGTCAAAGTCGATGTGCTGGTGGTGGACGTGATTGGCGGCAGTGCGAGCGTTGATGTGGATGCCTGCCATTTGTGATAGTGGCATTCAGCAGCACGCTTTCTTGACAGCGCAGGTTCCAAGCGATGTCCAACTCACAAATGTAGATGTCGCCATTGTGCTGCTACTGGACTCCATGGGCTGACTGGTTGGATGGCTGGATGGCTGGCTGGATGGCTAGCTGGATGGATGACTTGCTGGCTTGACGCGATTATCTGGCTCTCTGAAGGATGATCTGCTCTTCCAAGAACGATGGCAAGAAGGAGATAACGACTGATGGTGTTTTGTGAGGCGATGACGAATCGAGACACGGCGGGCGACATTGCTTGTGTGACGTGTTCGTGGCGTGGTGGGCCGAGACACGCGAATGTTGTGCAGGTGTTCTGCAGGTGGCGTGGGAAAGGTGGCACTGTCGCGGAGCGGAGCGGACACAGGGCGGAGCTGCGCGTCGGCGGGAGCTGAGTTGGGGTGGCTGGCCGGACTCGCGAGTGGCACTGCCTGGGCACGCGCGCGATTCCTGTTGGACGCCCAGGACGGGACGCCCAGGACGGGACGCCCAGAACGGGACACCTCGCAAGGGGGGCACATTTTACAGCCCGCCATCCCGCTCGCCCGTGTGCAGCGTAACAGGCAGCACACAGCCGCGTGGCGTTTGCACCGCAACTCTGAAATCGCACCACGCACAATGGCCAACCGAGCCCTGTGCGGCTGTCTCTTTACGATCAAGGCGCTGCTGGCGTTCCTGCTGGGCCTCGGCGGCCTGGGCATCCAGGCGTTCTGGGTGTACAAGATGTACGGCCCCAGCACCGTGCTGCCGTCCATCGCCATCCCGCCCGCCGGCTCGGCCAACGCCGCCTCGTGCTTCTTTGACGCCTCGGCCGGCAAGGCCCGTCTGGAGCCGCCGCTCGGCACCTTTGTGCTCGGCTTCTCGCTCAACTGGGCCATCGACACGCCCGAGAAGCTCGTGGCCCGCACGGGCAAGCGCCCCGCCATCTACAAGTAGGTGCCCAGAGTGCCCGCCCGCTTGCCGTCGTATGCCGTCGTATGCCGTCGTATGCCGCCGTGTGGCAGTTGTGTTCAGTCTGGCAGTGACGTTTTGGCCGGATTGCTGGGCTGGCTGGGCTGCCTGGCTGGGCAACTGCCTGGCTTTCCTCCCGCCTGTTCCCTCGCACTGCCTGCCTGCCTGCCTGCCTGCCTGCCCCATCCGTCCCCGCCCCCTCCCACCCCACGGCCGCCCTGCCGTTGTGTTTGTTGCCCTCCAGCCTGTGCCTGTACCAGTGCCTGTTGGTGTCTGTGCAGCAGCAGCGTGCCAAAGGCGGCGCAACGGCGTCTGCCAGCCAGCCCCGGGCCGCTCGCCAGGGACGGGTGGCTGTGGTGATGGTGGTCGTGGTCGTGCGGTTGCGACGGCAGCAGCACACAACAGGACGGCTTCGTTGCCAGCAGCAGCAGCAGCAGCAGCAACAGCAGCAGCAGCACCAGCAGCAACGACCACAAACGAGCAACAAAGCTGCACCACGCCCCCATCACCAGGCGAGATATCCATGGCTGGCTGGGCTGGCTGGCTGGCGTGCCAACGCTGCGGCATCGCCGACAATCTCAGCCCAGCAGCTTCAGCCACATTGATAACATATCCCGCCTTATCCCCCGCATCCCGCCCCGTCCCGCCTGGTCCCCTCCATGCCCTGGCTTGCCCTGGCTTGCGGCTGACACTCGTGCCCTGCCACAGCACATTCATCCGTCTGTCGGCCACAGACTTCCAGAAGAACATCCTCAACTGGAATGCCCAGGAGGTCGGCAAGGTTGGCGCCATGCTCGAGGTCACCCTCATGCCCGTCGTGCCCGTCGAGACCATCCCCTCGACCCTGCTCTGGGAGGTGGCCACGTTTATGCGCGAGATCAACTCCAAGTACGGTGTTCCCGTCTTCCTGCGTTACGGCCACGAGATGAACGGTGCGTTGTCTGGCCACGATCGGGTCTGATTGGCACTTTGTACATGGCCGATCTGTGGCTCGCTCGCTCGCCCACTTGCCCGCTTGCTCCCAAGCTGACCATTGATCCTGGCTTGCGCCGATCCTGCAATGCGTGTAGGACCCTGGATGATTGAGAACGGCTTCGGCATGCGTCCCATCCAGTACAAGCAGTCGTTTGCCACGCTTGCCTCGTACATCTACCTCAACACCAACCTGACCGCCATGGTGTGGTCGCCCAACGTCGGCAACAACTATCCCTTTGGCGCCAGCGCCGCCACGCCTGGCATCGACGCTGCCAACCTTGCCGAGCTGGACACCAACAAGGACGGTCTTCTGAGCGAGCTGGACAACCCGTACGACCCCTTCTACCCGGGAGATGCATGGGTGGACTGGATCGGTATCTCGGTCTACAACTACCGATACACGGAGCCGACTGCTCCCATCCGCCAGATCATCCCCGTTGATCTCAACGTGTTCTCGACGGTCAACGAGATGTCGCTGGTTGGTGGCGAGCCCGGCGGCCGTCTCGACTTTTACGGCCGCTACGCCGCTGCCAAGAGGAAGCCGTTCATTTTCTCCGAGACGGGCTCGGCGTACCAGGTTGGCGGTGGCCAGGCTCTTGCCCC